CGGCCGTGCGGCGGAGTGACGGCAGCCCCTCGCCCGCCCGCTCGCTGGAGGGGACGGCTACTGCTGGCTGCCGAGCTGCGGAGGAAGGCCCCGGGGGCCTGCGCCGGTCGCTGGGGTCAGAGCCTGGCCGTGCTCCCGGATGCGGCCGTGCTCACGCTGGGTTCAGTCCTTGCTCTCGCCCCAAGTCAAAGCAGGCCAGGGAGGTCTCCTCCATGCACTGAATCTCTCAGGCACAGGGCACGTCCCCCAGCTCAGCCGCCTCCTGGGACCCTTCTCGCTCAGCGTCCCGGTAGCGGTGGCTTTGGGACCTGCCCTGCACCCAGGGATGCAGCGCGACGTGCCTCTCCGCAGGGTCCGTCTGCAGCAGCGCGGGACCGGGAGCAGCCAAGGGGAGAAGGCAGCAGGGACCGGGAAGAGCAAGCGACTGCCTTTGGGGACGGGGCCCATCGCTGCAGCTGCGTGTGGCTGTAGCAGTAGCCGGGCTGCATCGGGCCTGGGTCTGCTTTGCCCGGGGCCCCGTCTCAGAGAGGGCGACGCCGTGGGGCATGTGTGGGAGCGAGGGCAATTCTGGGCTCCACGTTTTAAAGACACGGAGAAGTGAGCGAGAGTCCAGATGATGAAGGGCTTGGAAGGGAGGTCGCGCACGGAGGGGCTGGAGGAGCCGCGCAGGTTCAGCTGGTGGAAAAGGTGCTTCGGAGGGGCAGACAGCAGCTGCAAACACCTGAAGGGCTGTTGGGGAGCGGAGGGGAAGCGCCTCATCTCCGTGCAGAGAGGAGGACGTGGCCCACAGGTTGAAGTTGCAGCAAACTCAGGGTCCCGGCTGGAGGGTCTTGCCCCCGTGCTCGGGCTCAGCCCCGCGCTGCACTGGGGCAGGAAGGGATTTCCCCCCTGCTCAGACCCATGCCACTGGGGGGTTTCCCCTTCCTCTGCAGCATCCATGACCCCCGGCAGCAGCAGGACTTTGTCAGCCGCGGCCCCCCCCGTACCCCGGCCGATGCCTGGGGCTGTCGGGCAACTGTGTGGCGTGTCTCTAGGGTCAGACCCGGGGTTTGTCTGGGCTGGTTTGGATGCTTTGATCCTGCCTCGGGCCGGTCTGGGCCTAGATGTGACCCCACCGCTCCCTGCCTGGCCCCCGACTCTAGGATGCTAGATGAGGCCACTGAGCACAACCCTTGCGTGGGGCAGCATCAGGCGAACGTGCCCCCCTGGCAGCTGTCGCCTGCCCCCCCGCGATCCCGCAGGGATGCAGCCAAGGGCGCACAGGGGAGCCGGTGTCAGAGCCCAGCTCTCCCCTGCATCAGGCTTGGCGTCGGCCACTGCTGCCCTGCACCGAGGTGGCTTTGGCCACCTCCTTCATGAGCTCCCCGGAGCTGGGCTTCGGGGGGAGGCTGCTCTCTCCTCTCTCCTTGAGGCTGCAGCTGGTTCGTGTTGGGGCCTGGCTGCCTCGGAAAGGGCGGTCCCCGGCACCCCGTCTCTGCCCCCGTGCAGGTGGGTCGTGGCTCGGGACCGTCCCGTGAGCGAGAAGGACGTGCGGGCCTCGGCCAGCTGGTACTTTGCCAGGTCCTGGGGCAAGGAGGCATCTCCCCTCGGCTCAGGCCGGACTTTGTGGGGGTGTCGTGGCCCTGGGAGGGGAACAAGGAGGAGCATGCCGCAGCCGGGCACCTC